TTTAATTAGATGAAGGATCAGCTGACTGTAACCCCAGGAAAGCAAGTGTGAATGAGCCCTGGGGCATCCTTCATCATCCATTGTGCTTGTGCTTGGTGGAACATCATGAGACACTGCCAAAAGCAGCCAATCCAATCTTAAAGACTCTGGCTGTAGAAAGGACTCAAGGAAGGACGACCGCTGATCTTCGGGCCTTGATTTCACCAGACTGTCTAAATAGGCCAAAAACTGAGCAGGATGATGATGACAAAGTTGCATGATATCCGAAGGCAAAATGGATGGATAAAACCTGTTTAAGGATCGAAGAGCAGATTCCCCAAACTTCTCATACAACCGGGTAGCATAAGCAATCAACAAAGGACTATCAAAAGGAACTGAATCATCTAATAACTTTAATCTCATTGGTAGGTCTCCTTCTTCCATCTGCATACACGTAGGATTGGAACTAGTCATTTATGAATAGAATGGTGGGGAGGCAACAAAATCTAGTCACATTGGAGTTTTTTTAATCTTTAAAGAAATTCTAAAATGAATAAACCAAAGGAAATGAAGGATTCAATATTAAATCACAACTGACCCAGATACAAATGAGCAGAACACGGGTTTACGAGATGCATGGGATGGTCCACATAAAACACTTAAGGCAGGTACCTTCATTTGCCTACTAACCCTGAATCCCCATAAGTCAAAAAGGAAGTTTAGAGTCTCTATTAATCTCTTCTCAACAGTTCAGTCACAGGAATACTCGAACATCAAAAAGGGAAGGTAATGACCCCCAAAACTGTAGTAATTTTTCATTCCTGATGGAAAATAATTTGGTTAGTCAGGATAAAATCTTTCCACTCTTTTGGTTAATGAACTTCTTCCTTAACCTTTCCAGCATTTTGACACATGATCAAAATTAGGCACTTTACCAATGTTAGCCTAAACATGAGGGGGAAAAAAACTAAGCATAACCTGCTCTTCTAGTAGCAAGCAGATACACAGGTCTGGATGGAAAATCAACATGCTAAAAATTATTAACACATCATAGGAATTCTATGCACAGGATAATCCTGGTAATGAGAACTCAAAGAAAATAACTGCTTCATATCAGCAGCCAACAACAGACACATTCATCACCTTCATTCCCAGGTGAGCCACAACACTGATCTGGCTGGTCCTCTTCCTGATGTGAGGTGAATTCTTTAAGTCTCTCATCTTCTGAGAGGGTTTGGCTGTGAAGGGAGCAAGAGTCTTCATCCGACTGACTGCCTCTTCTACTACTAATGATACGATAAATACCAGAGTCCAAAATACTGAAACTTTCCTAAAGGTGAAAAGAATTCCAAAAAAACAAAGTAAATTTTTTCCTATAATACAGCTTTTTCAGAGAAATACCAACACTAACTAATATAGAAAGTCAATAATAACAATTATGGCTTATTAGAACAAACTGGTGAGCAAGGCTTGGGCAGCTAGCACCAGGGTCACTCACATGTGCTAGTGGCATCATGCTGCCGTATTTCTCTAGCTTGTCTTCATAAAGCGTGGTAGTGAGAACGGGGATTAAATGAGACAAACCCAAGCTGCACTGACACTCAAATTAGCATAAAGCATCTGAAATCACATATTAGGAGCAACGTAGAGGCTATATGAGGTACACTTGGGAAGAGAAAATAAACAATAATAAAAAAAACAGTGGCTCCACACACACCTAAAAGGAGGCTTCATATAACTGTCCAATAAATAAAAGAAACCCAGAACCCCCTCCTCCAAAATCTACTAGATGGAAAGGAAAAAGACAAGTTTTGCGATCCTAGAGGTAAATAAGTATAACCAAAGGTGGAGAAGTCTTACTCTACAACAAAACCCTTTCAAAAGTAAGAATACTTACATGTGATGAAATGGAGCTTCTTCTACTGCTGCAAGCTGAATCCAAAGGTTCAAATTTTAAGATCAATTCTTCAAGTTGAGAAATTAAATCACTATAGGTTGCAAGGTCCAGCTGATATTTCAAATGCTCCAATTTTTCTATAGTCAGCGTTTTTCTTGCTCTGCTAGCAATGATAGAATTTTGGAAAAGACAGCATGTGCGAGCAGCCAGGTTCCATAGGCCTCTCCTCAGCAGGCGTTCCACACAGCGCTCCACAGATAACAGGGAAAGATGTAAGACTTTCCCATTTACGTGCAAACAGAACAGTTCATTCTTACAGACAGCTACATCCTGAATATCTTTGACTTCACTCCAAAGAAGAACTTGAACGTTCTGAGGAATGAAAATATAAATTCCTCTTTCTGTCCAAGTCAGCACACAATGCTCACTAAGATACAAGAGTTTGGGGAAAGACAAAGACTGGGAGGATCCAACTGTATGATCATACTCAGGGTCCGATCTAGAAAGTAAACACATCTGTTAATGATTTAATCACAACATAAAATTATACTTTTCCCAAATAGGAAAATTTTTGCCCCCAAAACAAACTCAAAAGCCTAACTGCAACTGCCCTTATTCAATTCACTCTGATCACAGAATATATAATTGATTGAAGACTTTCTTAGTTTCTCTGATCATTTAATAAAAATTTTGCTTTACTTTAAAAGACGTAATAAAATCTTTAACACATATAGAATATCAGAGATTTGAATCCAACCCCTCCATATAAATTCCTCAAATCCCAAACAGCCATGTAAATCATTACCTTTGAGAAATCACAGGGAGAGGTGGCAATGAAAGGAGTTTCTTGAACTGATGTGTACTTATAACTTCGCCATCAAAATTCACCTCCCACATCCTGGAGCCAGGGCGAGCACAATATATCAGAGGTTGCTGGCCCCCAGAACATCTTCCAGGAAAGAAACAAGCTCCATATTCCCCATCTCTTTCCTTGTTTCCAATTTTCCAAAACTTTTCTCTTTCAGTGTCACACAAGAAAGATCGAGTAAGTGAAGATATAAGTAGTCTTCCATCCATATAATCTAACT